CTTTATTCATCATTCTGGTTTATCCAAGGCCAAAGATCCATCTGGCTAAACTACAGGAGTTGTCCATCTGAGGGGCAGGTGTCTAAAAGAAATTTAACAATGAAATGTTTAAGATGTTTATAAGACATTCAGCCCTTAAACATTTGCACTTAGAATTTTATAGAATCACTTAAAATAGAGGAGCCAGTTGAGGTGGCTCCGGCATCTGGTTAGGATGGCTCCTGGACGCCTCCCTGGTGTGGTGTTCCGGGCACGTCCCACTGGGAGGAGGCCTAGAGGAAGACCCAGGACTATGTTTCTTGGATGGAGGGACTATGTTTCTCGACTGGCCTGGGGGCACCTTGGGATTCCCCCGGATGAGCTGGCCCAAGTGGCTGGAGAGAGGGAAGTCTGGGTCTCTCTGCTTAGGCTGTTGACCCAGTGACACGACCCCAAATAAGCGGAAGAAAATGGAGGGATGGWTGGATAAGGTGAATTAGTTGCAATTTGGTTGACTCCAAAAGTTAATGAGTTGGATGTGTAGATCCAATTATTACTTTATGAYAGTTAGATGATAGTTTGATGAAAACCCATCCAGTGAAATGATATTTTACAAACCGACAAAACTGTTTTGAATTTCAACAACCAATGCAAATGTTTTTGGCAAGGATGCCATTCAACATGTTGAGCCTAAAGTATGTGTTCAGGACAACACTCAGCTTTAAAACTGCATGAATGAAAGCCAGATTAGTATTTTCTAAGGCCAGTTGACCATGACCTCCATCGTGAATTGATTTGAGTCCAAAAAATAATCAGTTGGGAATGTACATCCTTTGAATACTTTTTGAAAGWTTCATTAAAATCACACCAGTTTTTCAAGAGATATTTTGCGAACAGTAAAGACAATCAAACACACACACATACACATGCACACACACAAAGGCAAAAACATTACTGCTCTGCCTTCAGTGGTGGTTGATAACAAATGAATAAATGAAATATTAAAAACTCCATTTTCTGATCAAAAATCCATTATGAAGCCCTCTTTTGGTCCTTGGCACAGGTCTGTKGAACATGACCACATTTTATTGGAGGTGCAAAATATCCTTTTCCCATTATTTTGCTAAGCAGAGATTCATAAAAACACAAGCTTTTAATAATTTCACACTAATGTTTTGTCAAATTAGAGTCCCCAAAAAGGACTTCAGAACAGTAGTTTGCAGGTTTTAATGAACAGCTCTGGGCAGCATTCATTAGGCTGCATTGTGGAATAACTACCATGCTTTCTGCACAGACACTGCCACTTGATTATGCTGAGGAAATAAAGTAATAAATTTGAGATGATAAAGAGCTGCACAATCTAAACATGATAATGAGCCAACATGTCAATGAGCAAAAGTCAGAGGTGATACATATCAAAAAAATGTACACAGGTAGCTGATCAGAAATGTTATGAAAACATGTCTTTCATGGAGAGAAGGAACATGAAAGTTTGTCTTGTCCAGCTTAAGTTTTGTTAAKATTCTCCTCAGATACTGACACGTACAATCCCAGTTTTAAAAGAGTCGGGACATTGTGTAAAATGTRTTTAAAAACAGAATGCAATGATTTGCAAATCTCATAAATGCAAATTCTATTCACAACTGAACATAGTAAACATATGTATAAGGTCATTTTGAATTTTCATAGCAGCAGCACATTTCCAAAAAGTTGAAACACAAGCAACAAAAGGCTGTRAAAGTAAGTGGTACAAARAAGAAATGGCTGGGGGGAGCATTTTGCTTCTAATTAGATTAATRGGCAACAGGTCAGYMAGAGGACTGTGAAAAAGGAGCATTTTAGAAAGGCTGAATTACTCAGAAGAGAAATGGAAAAATGGGCAAAGATTCACTAGTCTGCAAAAAAAAATCTATAAAAACTGGAACAATTTCRAAATATTGATCCTTTTTAAGGGAAATTGTGATGTCTTTGAACATCCCATCATCATTATATCATCAAAAGATTTCAAAAAWCTGTAGAAATCTCTGTGRACAAAGGACAAGACTAAAATTCAATATTGGATGTTTGTAATCTTCCAGCAGCACTGCATTAAAACCAGGTCTGAGTATGTTATGAACATCACTGCATGGGCTCAGGAACACTTCTACTGATCATTGTCTGTGAACACAGTTTCCCATGTGATCCGCAAATGATGCTTAAAGCTCTATCRTGAAAAGAAGAAGCCATATGCAATCACTAGCCAGAAACYCATCTTCTCTAACCAAATCTYATAACTGACTGAGRCAAAGTGGAAAAYTGTTCTGCARAAGCCATAACATTCAAAAYTATATATTTTTTTCATCTAAATATTGGTGAATTCCTTAGTTTAAGCTGGTGATATGTTTTTCATTTTTAACTGTGTACAAAATATAGATTTATGTGATTTWGAAATCCTCACATACTGTTTTCATTTGCATTTCACACAACATCCCAACTGTTTTTGGATTTGATGTTGTATTAGTTTTAAGTTCAGCTGAATGTTGCAGCTTTTTATGTTGTCAAAAAATAGATTTGCAGAGGATTATTTGGCACAAGTAAGTGGTGCTTCTAACGCATCTGTTYGGGTCTTATTTTGGCTAAGATGTAGTCAATCTATGATGCTTGGCCAAAAAACAAAAAAGAAGCTCTTTCCTGGATTTKACTAAGCAAAGAACTTCCCATCGGAACAGCAGCACAGTAATTAATGTTTTCATACTGCCAAAACGTTATTTAACCCAAACAAAATGCAGTAAGCAGATTCTGACTTATTCAAACRACCACATCTGAAAAAATTCTGCAGTTGATGAAAAGAGTCAAATTACAGGTCTGCATAAAGCAAACAAAACAGCTGAAACGAACTGCTGAATACACACTTAAAAATGCAGAACACCTGAATGTTTGGGGAAATTAAATAARCAAGAATATTAACAGTCCAGAATTCATTCTTGGAAGTAAAAAATATTGAGAGTGCGACTCAAGGTTGTGGACTAAATTGTCGTGTAGCCTTTAGAAATGTAATTATCTGTGAAGCAAAGAAATGTTCCAGTTTGCTTAAAAGTAGAAATTTGGACTCTGAATCAATGATGAAGGTCAAATGTTGCGACAAGTCCAGATTTACTTTCATCCAGAGAGATGGCCAAACCAGCAGCAAAAGTGATGAACCCAAGTTACCATAAAGCCGATCAGGCCTACATGCGGTGGAAATATCGTGATTTGGAGTACTTTCAGTTGCTAAGGTTCACTAATGTTCTGCCCAAAAATAGATGAATGACCATTTTTTAACTAAACTATTAGGATGATAATGACAGGATTCTTTGGGCTCATGTTGTGAGAGAATACTTTATTGTAGTCATTTTTATTCATAAAGGCAAAGGAGCAATAATATTTCTGTCCATGTTTCTATGTGTGTGTGTCTGTACTGCAAAAATATCTCATGAATCACTGAACCAATTTAATGAACCTCTCAGAAAATTATTATTGACTTGATATCTACACCTGGTAGGAGTGTAAGAAAATACTAATACACTGAAATATCTTGATATTTAGTTTCCTGACACTGTATCGATTCTCAAAAGCACTGCATTGATTTTTAATTGGGGCTTAAAAGATGGATGTTGTGAGACAAAATGTGAAATACAAATAAAGTTTTCATTGTTGTTCAGTGTTCTGATTGCATAAAAATAAACAGAATTCAATAAGATTTTATGCATGTAATTCAGGGTGGGCTCTTCATATTGTGCTTTTTTATTTGTTGCATACAGTTTTGCAATATATTGCGATATATTGTGATATGTCATTTCATATCCTGTGTCCTGTGATCTCCAATTTACACTTGGAGGTTTACTTGATGCAAAATGTTTATAAAATGTTGACATCAACTCTGAATGTTAGCAAAATATATCATAAACCACTAAATAGATTTTAATGAAACTTTTCAGTAAATAACCATTGTGTTGACATCAACAAGTCAAAACCCTATGGACTCATCTCAATTCAAGACAGCCACAGCCAACAGACCTTAACCAGACTATATAATATAATCAGCCCATTTTACAAATCTAATAATGGCGTTTTCAAGTTTTAAGCAAAATGTTGATAAATCTGTCATTTCTGATCAGAAGATGATCTCAGGTTAAAACTCTAATGTAATGGGCGATATGAGTYCATCATAAATGGACTGGTCACAAAAGATCTCAGACTTTAAAAATTGTTGCAATGTGAAGATGAAGTTGTGCAGCAGTTCAACACTACTCATGCCAGTGCAAGTTCTTGAATAAAAATTGTTGCTGCTCCAGTTAGAAAAAAGTAACTCTTTTATAAAATTATCAAAGCATTGCTAGAGGGAATGCCTGACATGATTATCAAATATCAGGGTCAGAGACTTCTATATTGTTCAGTTTTCAATTCCTAAACAAAAGAAAATGAAAAATGAAGAATCCAATCTCTATGAAGGTTCAGATTTTTTATTATTATTTTTTTCATTTGTGTTCCTTGCTTCATGTCCTTGTGCATTTTGAATAGCTGACTCCAGGTGAATTAATTTCTTTTTCTCCTGTTCGCTCTCAGACTTTGGTGCTTGTACRGCATGCAGTGAACGTGCGCAGCTCCTCCCTGGAGACGTTGAGCTTCTTCCTCACTCTGCTTGCACCTGCGGTCACTCCCCTGTTTGTGCTGTCTGAGCGCTGGATCCACATGCCGTGTGGCTGCTTCATTAACTGCAAGCRGAATCCAGCGGAGGAACCCTCAGGTAGATTCAAGATGTCTTTTACCAAGGCACAGCTGAGCGTACATTTACAGAATAAAACGGAAACTCCAAGTTCTTATTGGATGAACATCTACAACTATCCCAATCCATACCATTCCATACCATACCATATCAAACCATACCACACCACACCACACCACGCCATACCATAGCATTTCATAGTGGATGGTATTTATTTGTTTAAAGAATAATAGATCTTTACTTCTCTGTGATATTTAGAAAAAATGCTGAAAAACGTTCTACTTTTTATGTTCTACTCCATTCACAGTTATGAAAAGAAAGTTTGAGTTCAACCTTTCCTTCCAACAAGGCTATGGAGTCTACAAGTTATCACACGCTAACAAGTCTCACAGCAGCCCCCCCATGGAGAAGCCCAATTATCACAGCCTTTTCAACTGTGACTTCTCAAATCCCCGCCTTGACGCACTGGAAAGTGGCGACCTTTCCAGGCTTTGTCCCAACTTTGATTTCAGCACCTCACTCCCAGTGGACAGCTCCTCTTGCTCGGGTCTCCTTTCAGAGGCCAGGGGAGGGGAGGCGCTGGCTGACTGTCCTCTACTGCCTCATGAGAACCACAAGGATGGTGAGGAGTTTCACCGTGTCTCCTCGCTGCCTTCTCATCATCAGGAAAAGGAATATAACCTGAACGACTCCTCATCTGTGTTTGAAGGGCCAGAGAGGAGGCTGTCACACGAGGAGTGTAGGAAAATCGAGCTGACGGACTGGGAGTGGTGCAGGAGTAAATCAGAGAGAACACCCAGACAGGTACAGCACACAGCTGCCCTTATGAATGTCATCTTGAAGCATTAAATTGAGCCATTTGTATGTGTCATTTTGCGTTTACGGCATTAATGGATTTTTCCACACACACTTAGTCTTTTGTTTCCCCAAAGACATCTAACTGTTTTACAATGAGGTGATGATTCATGCATGAATAATGTTTGAAGACTATAAAATAAGTATGAGTTCAGTCACCCCTTCTATGACAGTGCAGGGAGAATTTTGAGTGCTGAATGAACTTTCTGATGTTATTTGAAGAAGCTGAAAACAAGTTCTTAAGGCTAAAAAAGGCAGAACACTATCTAAAAGTTAAAAAAGCAAAGGCTAGATTAAAAACCTAAGCTAAAAGTAAAAAAAGAAACAGTAGTTAAAAGTAGTAAAGCTGCTAAAACCAAAGTAGCAAAATGTATGCTTAATGTTGCAAAATGCAAACAAACAGTTTAAAATAGTAAARGGCTAGCAAAGGCTAAAAACATGTAAAGTGGTGGCTAAAAGTAAAAGTAGCAAAGATTTAGATAAAAGCTACAAGTGGAAAATGGTAGCCATAAGTTTTAAAATGCTTGCTGGAGGCCAAACGTGAGAAACATTTGGCTAAAAGTAGCTAAAGGCTAGCTAAAAACTAAATACAGTTGAAAAATAACCTAAAGATAAAAGTAACAAACACTCTAGAGAAGCAGAGTTCCAAAATAACATTTTGATTCCCTTGAATGTATTTCTTGGTACACTGTATTTGTAAATGTTATAAAGTTAAATTTTAGAATATTATAACAATTACAAAAGAAAACAGAAGTCACAGCACGTATCCCCTGAATGAAATATACATTTTCATAGATGAACAGCCTAGTATTCAAAAAGAGATAGCAAAAACATTACTCAATAATAAAAACAGAGGAAAACAATATTGTAAATCACAAAAGGGTGTATTTATTTCAGGAAACTATAGATTTGAAGCCTAAAAACACTTTTCAAAGAACTGTTCAAGATGTGATTTTCTGTTTGTTTGTTTGTTCTTCTTTAGTGTTTTTACCTGCTCTGCTATTACGCATTTTTTAAAATTAAATGGACAAACTGGATGCTATGCATGCGATTTAGATAAAGCAGGTTAGCATCTTTTCTCTCCTTCTTCTCTGTTTTCTGTGCATATCTTTACATGCCTGAAGCCTCAGCTCATTCTAATGGAGCAGTTGATCAGAACACTATCTGATGTTTCTCAGAGCCAAAAACTGCATTCGTTGAAACTAAATTCATTCATTGAAACTAAAATTCCAAAATCCGACGAATGCGCCAGGCTCAGCTCGAATCATTGATTTAGAAGTTACTTCGGGGGGAGGCAAATAACAGCAGGATTTATAGATTCAAGTTTTTTAAGCTATATGTTGTATAATTTTTTATGAAGGAAGATTAAACAAAAAAAATCAACAGATTAATTTTTGATTCAAGTTCAGGGAAGAACAGCTTGTCTGTTCAGTATGTGCTGCATTATGCATGGATGTCTGTCTGGCAGCAGCCGAAGTTGTGCTCAGTCAATACTTAACTCTATCCAGCGATAGAAATAARTACATAATAAATAAAATAGCCAAAGAACATAAACAGTGAAGCTGGAGACAGGTTGCTGCAGGCGTTTGGAGTACCCTAATAAATTCTCAATCTCCTTTCTTCTTTATTGTTGATATTATTTGCTCTCATAAGAGCAGAGACTCTTTTCTTTCTGTGTTTTTCTAGACCTAAACGTATTACTACCGTAAAGGAGAAGGCAGACAAAAATGTTTTCACTTCAGTCTCTGTATTTGTGTATCTGCCTTAAGTCTTTGAATCAATTCTATTAGCAACATATCTTGTGAACCAGTGCAGGATTTTATTGAAACTTTCAGCAAACAATCCCTACTGACAGCCATTAAAAGCCAAGTGAATTCAAGATGTCTGTCACAGCCAGCTAAACGAATACACAAATATCCAAAAATAGCTATAATGAAGTTGCAACACATACTCCAAGTGCTTCTTAATGCACAAATTCTCTGGTTGAACTTTTAACATTAACTGCTGCAGTCAACTCCATCTGTCTGTTAGCAAAATATCACGTGAACTGCAGCATGTACTCTCATAGGAAACATTGGCTGTACATCTACAACTGACGAGACAATCCCTGATGGCCGACACAGCTAATCAACATATAAAAGGCTATGATTCAGTCAGTTTTACAGTTAGTAAGCTAAAATCCAGTTTTCTGGACCCACAAAACTTACTCTGACACTGCAGACATACATGTGGTAATAATTAACTTCCAGACAACAACCCCTGAACATGTTGACGTCATTTTTTTTTCTTACACTTTTCTTTTTTGGTTCCACTTATAGGTTTGAAATGTTTCTGGTCTGAAAATCACCAGAGGGGAGGAAAATTCACAGAGCGTGCTGCTTCAGCTGGGCCTTGGCACTCATTTTGCATCATGTATAACCCTGAGAAGCTTGCTGCCGACTTGTATGCGTGTGTGTGTGTGTGTGTGTGTGTGTGTGTGTGTGTGTGTGTGTGTGTGTGTGTGNGTGTGTGTGTGTGTGTGTGTGTGTGTGTGTGTGTGCCCTACTTCTGAGTTTCTTAGGAGAGAAGTGTGTGTGTTATTTCTCCTCTGGGCCTATTCATTGATTGGGCTGATGTAGAGGTGCCTTTTGTGCAATGTATTTACGGAAAGCAAATTAAAAGGCTTAGCAGTCCTTGAAGGAATGCATGTYGCTCGCGACCTTTCATGCCAGAGTTTTAGACTGAAGTCATCTTATGATGCCAAGGGACAGAGCTATGGCAGTTTTGGTCAAACCTCAAAATAATATTAAGCACTGTCTCATGCATTATTAAGATACATCACACTCAAAGTTTGTGTTTCAATGACTTTCAGCTGCTGCTAAATCACATTTTAGCTCAATACCTCAAAAAATCTGTCTATTATAAGTCTATAAGATTCTAACAACCATCTTGCATCAGGTTGACTCCAAAAGTTAATCAGTTGTAGATGTAAATCTTTTATGTTTTGGCAGTGGGTGATAAAAACAGCTAATAAAAGAGAAATGCCCAAACCCTAAATCCAGACATAGGACCAAAAAAAAGAAAATCTTCTAAATCCACGTGACTAAGTCTGACACAGTTTGCAATTCTGTTTGTCCTGCTTGTATTTTTCTTCCTCGTTAGCAGATCAGATGTCATTACCCAGCATCCCCTCCTCTTACTGTCAGAGCCGCTGGCCTTCAGTGTCCGAAGGGAGGGTTGGAATTAGAGCTTAAAGACGTGTTTACCCTCTCTGTGACATTCTACTCTGTTAGCGAGCACAAAGCTCGAGGTGCTGTTCCCCCGCGGAGGGCTGAAGATCTAATGTGTAATCACATGTCAGAAGGCCCCTGGAACTCAGCCACTCTTCGGAGAATTCATCCACGGCTGCAAAATAAAAAATAATAATAGTTAAGAGGGCTTTAGTGTATGGAAGACATGAAATATTGATACAGGACAGACATAAATCTAACACAACTAGAGGAAATGTACTGCAACTGTGTCAGGGTTTGTAATAGCAAAGTAGTCATTTAGCAATGTGTGAAAATGGCACAAAAAGGAATTTTTATCACGTGACACTGAAAGGCAAAGGCGGTTTTCGCCTGTGTGGGTTTGCTCATGTTTCTGTTGTTGTAGCTTCCAGAAGAAAATCGTTGGACGAAGGTCTACAACTGATTCACTTTGGAAGCCAACCCAATCTAAACACTAAAAACAGCTATTAATCAGTCAGTTTTAGATATTCTGTTGAAATTAGACATGGTTTATTTAGAGTCATTCACAAATACTTCCTTAAAATTCCTCTGTGCAAAATCTTTACATTTACTTTTGGAGTCAATCCTGTTTGAGTGTTAGCAATGTAACAGAACAAAACAAAATGTTTTGGTAACCTGATGAGTCCAGTCAAACAATTCAGGTTGCAAATTATTTAATAAGCTGTTTCCAATCAAAGTCTAAACAAAAAGAGAATAAATGAGGAAATCCAAGCAGTTCTACAACAACAGATAATAAGTCAAAACTCAAATCAGTTTGTTATGGGAAGCCAGACACTGTGCCATCCATTAAAGTTAATACCAGTCTTCTAAAAAGAATATCATTACCAATAATGGCAGAGATCAACAATGAAGCTGTTTTTAGTCAGAGATGTTTTATTTCAGTAATATTTAGTGCCTTGATTTAAAAACCTAGTTTACTAAACAGTGACTGTGAACAGGAGTTAATTTATGAAGGTAAACAAAATAAACTCTCAAATTGAAGTGGCTGGGGAATATTAGACTGGATGAAGGAAATATAACTAAAATAATAATGGAGAATTTTTTCATGGTTGTCAAATCAAACATTAGTCAGAGTTTTTGTCCAATTATTTTGTTTAATTAGTGTCAACATAATTTTCATGCTGTTTTCACAAATGAGTGCTTTTTCTTTATTTCTTTCTTTCTTTCTTTCTTTCTTTCTTTCTTTCTTTCTTTCTTCTTTCTTTCTTTCTTTCTTTTTTCTTTGGGGTTGTGTAAGTATTTGAAGTTGCTGGTGGAATTTCTTTCGATAAAAATATTTTAAAAGATTTGTGAAGAAACTATAACACCTTCAAGGATAAATTGAACATTTTCAACTGTTCTGACATTCTATTTGAATATTATAAAAGCATCCATTTTTATACCAGCTTGACTATTTCCTGCCGTCATTGAGCAAGAGGCAAGGTTCATCCTAAACAGGTCACCAGTCCCTCCCTGGGCCTGAGATAACTATTCATTCGTGCACTCACACTTAGAGAAATGTGGAGATACCAATAAACCTAACATCCATGTTTTTGGACAGTGACAAAAAACTCGGGAACTTCTTGCTGATAACTGCAACTGCACTATGATGTATTTGTAAAAACGTCAGGGAAAAAAATCAAACTTTTATTGTGACAAAAATAATTCCTTAAACTCATTTTAAATTAAAGACCAATCTTTGATGGAATGGATATTATTGATGTCTTACATGCCAGAATTTTAGACTCAAGAAATAACAGCGTTGTAGCTGTTTTTGTCAAACCTTGACAATAATGTTATGCATCATAATGTATTTCAAGACATTGCACACAGATTATGTATTGTAAATGACCCTCATTTACATTTAGCTCAATATAAAATGGACTGAATTGTRGTCTTCTTGTGTTGGTAATCAGTTTTAGGTGTACAGCCAATAATTACTTTTTAAGGTTTCATTGAAATCTATCTAGTGGTTCTTATGATACAGTATTTTGCTAACAGACTACATGGACACACCAGCACAGGCACAAACATCACCATTTTGGCTTTTTGTGGCAGATGCTAATTATGTTGATTTTAGTCTAAAACCACCACAGCATTATGAAATCAAAGTCCTCCAGAAATCTTTTAATCATTATTCTCAGTTATGTGAAAACAGATCCTGAGCTTTGTGTTTTTACATCATCATTCTTTCCACATTGGTATGTTTGTGGTATCAGTTGATTTGACTGGAAGACACATTTTCAGCTCAACATTGTGGACTTCCTCTCCTCGGAGTGGAGTAAACATGATGGCAGAAAAAACAGACACAGTCACGGAGAACAAGACACTGACATCACCTCTGGTCCTGCTTTGCATCACAGACGCAGTCAGATAACCACATTTAGTTAGCATAAATAATTTATAGGTTTAATGAGACCTGCTGCCTCCTCCCCACTGGTGGTTCTCCTGACTCCTGCGGGTAACATGCACCAGCTCAAACACATTATCTTGACAGACAGACTCTTTTTCGACTACTGTGTGGTTAGTCACTGCAAAAACACTAAAAATATGATGTAATATGATTACATATGAGTCATAAGAGTGCTGTAATGATATTAAAAATATAGCAAACTGATAAGGAGCCCAGAATACATTTGACTGATACATGAAATAAATATTCATTCCAATAGAATTACCTCATGAAAACAATTAGAAGCCAAAATATAATGAACCTTCTGTGTTTTTGTGGCTTCCATTACCTGAAGGTTTACCATCTCATTTCTGCAGCAGTGTGCTCTTCGCGAGTCTTTAAAATGTAAGCCACACGAAGTAAACACATACATCTTCCTTCTCCTGACATCACGAGTCCAATCCAATCTCAGTTTAAACAGCAACAATGAAGTGCAAAAATGACCTTGTTATTGACGTAAAGGTTTAGACGCTGGTCCTCATGAGTTAAGATGGCAGCAGGCAYTTTGATTTGTCATTGCAGGAGAAGGACGTGCCACATTTTGTTGTGTTACGATAGCTCAGTTCCATTACCTGCCATTAATGTGCTTTTTGACTGCGTGCAAAGTCCAACTTTCATTGACAGTTGAGAGCAACTGTTACTGAAAGTAGCAAAAAGGCTAGCTAAAAGCTAAAAGTAACAAAACCCTTTGAATTTGAAAAGATCTCAAAATATTTAAATGAGGAAAAATTTTTGTAAGTAAGAATGCAATAAAACGTACTTGAAAGTAAAACCAGATAAACAATCATGGGAATGAAGAGTTAGCTTACAGTGATGCTATGAGCAGGTGATGAACTTTTGAACAATAGTCCAAAGGTCTGAGTATTAAAACTTTACCTAAGTTGTACCTGAGTGCACTGCTCCAGAAACTGAATAAATACTCCTATTTCTCCTCTTCTTTGTGTTTTTTTCTTTTTCTTTGCAGAAGTCATCAGGTGGTCTGTCTATCCCTCTGTGTGCCTTTCAGGGCACTGTGTCCCTGCAGGCACCCACGGGCAAAACGCTCTCTCTTTCCACCTATGAGGTCAGCAGTGATGGGCTCAAAATCTCTCCCAATAATGCCAAGAAGGTAATGACCTTTGCTCTGATCTCTTCTGCTAAAGCTCTATTAATCAGATCAGGCTTTATTTCCTTTTTGTGAATAAGTAGTTTGACATTTGGAATATGTGTATGTGGTATGAGCTTGGTTACCAACTTTTACTCTTATGTCTTAAAGCTGCAGTAGATAACTTTTATAAAGCTGTATTTTTTTACATATTTGTTAAAACTGTCCCTATGTCCTAAGAGTTGAATATAAAAACCCTTGTTCGTGCTCAAGATTGCTGGTGAGCTGCAGCTGCGCTACTAGTGGAGAAACAACTTAGCGTTACAAGAAAACTGCAAATTTCTGAGAGCTGTGCGTTCACAGCAGACTCTGCTGTGGGGGAGGAGCTGTGGAGGGAGGGCTGTATATCGCAGGCTAAAGACCTCTGCATGAGCCATCCAAACTGCTGAAATTTTCTCTCATTGTTGCAGTTGCATGACAAAAATCACTTTATTATGTTTGCATCATTGAATCTGCCATCCTTTCTTCTCGCAACCCACCAGGAGAACTTTTTACCCCTTCCACATAAGAACTTGCAGTGTGATTGGTCAGAGGTTCGTGGCTGTGTTTGTTTGTGCTGAAAGCGCTCAGATGCTGCATTTTACTTCAACGACTCGCTTCCAAAAAAAAATGCTTGCTTCAAGGAGCTGACTGTTGCAGCCAGAAGCAGACATTTATCCAGATAGACAAATGGTCTGATGGAGTATTTTGAGATCTTAAGTCCACGGTTTTCTCAGAAACCCGCTACTTCAGCTTTAAATACGCTTGCACACCAGAGATAGAACAGCTGCCATGCAAAATTCTTGAAATGAAAAGCCTTGGCATGAAAAAAATATGAGACATCTGCAGCCGCAACATGAGCTTAAATCTTATCTAATTTCTACCCATGTGAGCAAGCAAATTGTTCTTCATGTCATGGTTCAGACATTTTGAAGTGCAGATATAATAAATGATCATAAACAGCTATTATCTTACCTGTTCTATGTATCTAAGTATCTATGTCACCTTTAGCTGTTATTAAAATGCTTTTTTATGTTTAAATAGAAAATAAACTTATCTTCTCATCACTTCCTCTTCTAAATGCCTTGAAATTGGCCTCTGTCTTTTTAAGAACCACCTTCCGCTTCTGTCTCACCCATTTCGGTGTGTGGGGGGGCGGCTGCCATGATGCAGTTTACTTGACATCTGAAAATACGTTTCCTCAAAGGTATTTTTAATCTGAAAAGAGCTTCACTGAGTGAAAACTATTGTTAAGAACACAGCAGACAGTTTTGCTTTCACTTTCGGTTTCACCTGAGAGCCTGCAGGAGTCATGGGCGGGGTGTGTGGGGAGAGGGGTGCGCCCTGCAATGAGGAAGTTTGGCTTGAAGACACGTCCCAGGGCYGTTTCTGGTACCAAAAGGCGTTTCTGGTCCCCACCTGTCGTTTTGCTCCTCAGCATGGCTTCAAAAAAAAAACGCCGCAGGATTTCTCAAACATGATGAATGAGTCAAAGCAAGGCTTTGGGCATGTTTTTATGAGAGTATAACATTATAACATGATTTAAAACTCAAAAAAGTTGATTTTACTTTCCCTTCAAATTTTTTTTAAATCTTTTACATTGCCATCAGTTTTATTCGAGGTAAGATAATAATCATTCAAAACATTTCCACCTATTCCCACTTTAAACAATCTGAACTATTCTTTTATAATCTGAGCAACCAACACGGTAAAATTCAGCAAAGTGTGTAGTTGAGTTACATAAACATGGAGTTGAAACCAACTGCTTTGCTTTACAGGTGGAAGTGTATCGCTCCAAGTCTGTTGGCCATGAACCCAGTGCAGATGACCCGGCAGCTGGAGGCCACGCCGTCGACGCAAACACCAGCTGTGTCGGGATGGGCATGGAGATCGGCATGGGGATGGGGATCGGAGCCGGCGTAGGGGACACCAATGTGAAGATTCACCTCGAGGTTCTGGAAATATGTGATAACGAGGAAGCCATGGACAGCGTCTCCATCATCTCGAACATCAGCCAGTCTTCTGCCCACACCCGCTCGCCGTCGCTGCGTTACTCTCGCCGAGAGAACCGCTTTGTCTCGTGCGACCTGGGCGAGACCGCGTCCTACTCTCTGCTCATCCCCAGCAGCGGCGCCGCCGAGGCGGAGACCATCAATATCACCATCCCCGACACGGTGGAAGCCCACCGGCAGAACAGCCGACGGCAGATGCAGGAGAGCTCAGGGTATCACGAGGATATACAGCTGCTAAACGAGGCGTACAGAAAGCAGTCAGGAGAGGAGTAAGAGTGATACATGGACACAGTAACAAGATGGTGACGGAAGGGGTGGGGGTTGAACTCAGGCAGTAAAGTCTGCAAGACAGAAATCCTCATCATTCAACTGTTTTTCTTTAGCACATTTTGTAAAGAGCAGACGATTTTGTTAAAAGCCTGGAAATGAATGATAGTGTGTGTTTGCTTCCTCTTGTTCTTCCTCTTCAGGTAATAATGATGAAAGCACACACATCACTTCTTTGTATATTACACAGAGACAGAAATAAACTGGGTTAAACAGGGGAGAAAACGGCCAAAAGCTGGAAAAGGGCATCAGTGCATTAGTATTCCAGTCAATGCCTTCGACATATGGTAGCCTGTCACCGTGAGACAGATGCAGCAGGAGAAAAATTCACTTAGATGTTGAAAAGGAGGAGCTGAGCTCAGGTCACGAGTCTAATTTAAAACGGCTCACGTGGACTACGTCACCGGTGACTCAGGCTGGGGGAGGAGGGGCCACCTGCCCCATGTGTCTGACTCATTCAAGTGTGTTGTGCATTAGGATGAGAGGATCTGGTGTGATGCCACACACACACACACACACACACACACACACACACACACACACACACACACACACACACACACACACACACACACACACACACACACACACACACACACACCACACACACACACACATATACCGCAAGTATTTATGTTTCCCTGAAGTGAATGTGTCCATTTTACCTTAAATTTTGATGTCCTTTAACCTCAGCTGCTCTATCAAAAGTTTCTGCACCAATTAGGGTTGCAGCTATTAAAGCTGAAAGTGGAGAGGAGTGAAAGAATGGAGACATGGGTGGTTATGAATAGTGTTTGAAGGGACAGTTCAGATAATTTTTGTTAGATTTTTGTGAAACGGATAAGAAMAATTACCTGTTGTGGACAGATTTTTGAACAGCCTCAGATTGAGGAAACAGAGTTTAATTACCATACATCACTGAGTAGCAAAAAGCAGGCAATATCGTTTTGTGTCTGTTTGTATGTTTTGTGTATTGCATGAACCACTAGACAAATTTGAAAAAGACTCGCAAAGCATAATTATTGGATGCATATCTACAACTGATTAACTTTTGGCATCAACACGAAAATGACACAAAACACACACAAATTAATATAACACAATTAATTTTACCAATGTTGAGCACAAACCTGTGGTAGTAGCTGAGTCTAATCTCCAACACGTATTAGAAGCACATCTACAACTGTCTGCAGTTTGGATTCAGTCCAATTTCGGATGCCCGAATAGCAGCAGCAATAGCAAATATCTGTAGCATTTCCATTGCAGTCTAGAGCTGGGGTTCTCAAGCTGTTTGGATCTGGGGGGCTCCTTACATTAGTGAAAATTTTCCAGGGTCTCCCTCAAAAACCTCATGCTGATTAAAAACAATTTACTGCCATTTTAACCACAAATGCCATGGGAATATGTTTTGTTTGTTTGATTAATTTAACATGTATGTTTTAATGGCACATTGCTTTTCATATGTGTTTATGCAGTTATTTAAATGAAAAACAAAATTAACAATTTACTGTAATTGTTCGGGGACCCCAAGCTATGACTCATGGACCCTTTGGGGTCCTGGGACCCAGTTTGAGAACCTCTGATCTAGAGCGCTTCCAGCAAGAATATAATGTGTGACCCATCATATAAAAATGAGGATTAAGTCAAATTTGGTCAAAATTACCTAATTAAATTTTCAAATTCCTGGCTTYAAAGGCTACATTTTGATACATGGATCATTCTGATATCATAAGTGGATCCAGAGATATGACTTAATTTGTCTTGTTGGCAGAGTTGTAAAGTAACCATGTACAAATACTTCTTTACTGTACTTAAGTAGAAATTTGGGGTATCTGTACCTTACTTGAGTAATTATTTTTCAGCCTACTTTTTACTTCCACTTCTTACATTTTTACACAGTTATCCGTACTTTCTACTTATTATATTTTTAAAAAGGGAAGAAGTAGAAAGTCGTTACTCCTATTTCATTACAGCTTATTGTTGTTAAAAAAATATTATCCTCCTGGACAKAGTGAATTTAAGTGTGGTTGGATGAGAAGTATAAATATATATCATTCTGATCCTGTATTAGTTTGTACACGATCCATGACAGCTGCAAATAACACAAATCATGCCACACTCCAGCAGGACAAAGCAGACAAATTGTATGTAACCTATGCCACAGACACACACACACACACACACACACACACACAC